CTTTTTCCTTTATTTATTTTTTTTTTTTTTTTTATCTTTTTATTTTCTTATGGGGGACTCCCTTTAAAAGAATACAAGGGATTCTAGTAATTAGAACGAATAAAGATAAATAATTTGGAAGTCTTTTAAAAGCTAACCATTCAGTTAGTAAAGTAGTCACAAGTCTCAAAATCAAACAATGAAAGCTTTATCTGCAAAGAACCAAAGTGGAGATAGTGTATGACAGAGCTACACGAAGTGTACTTATCCTGCAAATAAAATGGCAGTTCGGTGCACAAATCATTCCGTATTCATACAGGGTCCGGGAAAAGGCCACATTCGAAGGGATACAAGCATTAGTGGATGCTTCCACGGTTCGAACCCGTGACTTATAGGTCACATGGAGACAAATTTACTATTGCTCCACCGTACACAACTTAACGTGCAAAAACAAAACAAAAAAGAGCTACGAGAAGTGTAGTACATGAAGAATTCTAGCTTTTTGCACGAGCAAATGCACGGAAACTTTAATTTGATACGCTTGGCGAACTGCATGTTAGATGAATTTAAAGTAATGGAACCATGTATCTAGAGAATCTTTTAAATGGAGAGAAAGTAAAAAGATAGCATAACGTCTCAAGTAAAATTACATAATTCAGACCAGTGAATAGAGAAATGAAAACCAGTGAGTAATAAAAATAAGTGCATTTTCACTCTTTAAATTCTTAAAAAAAATCTATTCTTAGTTATTATGTGCTCTTCGCTTAGTTGGTCTCAAACCCAAATATAGAAGGAAGATTGCCATACGTTAACAATCACAACAGTGATATACAAGATTTTAAGACTTTAAGTGATATATGGGTTGGAATTGTGGTGCTTTCAAGACTTTACTTCTTGTACCAAATTAATACCTTATATTATTTTAAAGCATTGTCTCATTGTATATATATATAAATTCTCTAAAAGGATATTGCTTATTTATTTATACATATAAAATGAACTACTTTGCAAAGCGTTGTCGGGGTGTCTCCGCTACTGTATTACAATCATCGTAAAAATAGTCATGATATAATGAGTCCTAACATTGAATTCGTTTAAACGTGCCCACCTAGATGGATATTGTAGAAACATGAAAATTAAGAAGGATATGCAATCGTAAAAGATTATAAACGGCAAAGAATGCAAGTAGCATACATAAATGGTCAAAATAAGAGAAAATAAGCTGACATGGTTATCCATAGACTCACGGGCGGCCCGACGAGTTTTGTGGCCTTTTGGCCAAATTTTACGAGGGGCTTTAACTTTAAAAAATATATATATATTTATTTATTTGAAGTCTATTTTTCTAGCGTTTCTTAGATACAAAGTTATTAATAATTTTTTTTATAATCAATAACTTCAAATAAGTATTTCTTAATTAACAATATAGTTAATCCATTTAATCTTTATTGAGACATTGTTTATCTTAGGTGTGATTTTATCAATTTTAATTTGAAATTTTCTTTCCGCTGAAACGACGAAAACAAGAGTTATTACCATTATTGCATAAGTAATATAGGCATTGGAAAAGAATCAATTTTTTTATTTGACCGAGTGTATCAATTAAACTGTTATCTTCTAATTGTACAGTTTTTCTTAATATTTTTAATTCCCAAAATAAATCTAAACCATCTATATCGAATTGATTATTATGTTTTAAGGAACATTCAAGATTAAAGCAATATTTTTTCAAATTTTCATCATCTAGTGATCTTAACTTTTACCGCTAAATAGAAAACCAAATATATTTTTATATGTTTCGAATTGTTCGAATCTATTTTAAGTGAAAAAAATAGTCTTGTCTACTATGTATAAAGTAATCAATTCAAAAGACTCTTTCAAAGATTTTGAGATTTTATTATCAACATTCTCGCCAAATTGTTACTTCCTATATATCATACGTTTCTTACGAAAATCGGATTCGATATTCATTTCAAGTGTAATTTTCTTGGCAGAAATCATAGCAGTTGCAAATCCTTTTTCTCTATACTTGTTAAAGAAAGAAATCAAATTTTGTCACTTCACATAATATTTTTTAAAACTTATACATAGCCTATTAGGTGTAGCATAAAGTGGAACCCCCGTAAATATGGGGCCTAAAGCAGTTATTTTACTTGCTTTATGGAAGGGCCGCCCCTGAATTAGACTTCCAACTGCATTTGTGAACAAGTGTAACAATACATAATAATAATAATAATAATAATAATAATAATAATAATAATAATAATAATAATAATAATAATAATAATAATAATAATAATAATAATAAGGAACGAGGTAGACCTAACATTATAGAAAAAAAATCGTTTGGAGAGGCCTACAATTCCTTGGATCAATACGAATTTAGCTAAGAACGGAGCACAATAAGACAGAAATAATGTTGAGAACATGAGATTATGGTTCGTCATAGATTAAAAAAATGCTGAGATTGTGATTTCGGCGTTGGTCTTATACTTGCATTGGGTACGTACTGATATAAGTATTTTAATTTGGAGAGAAACCTATAAGTTCTTTTAATTAAGAACCTAAGTTTTCGCTACATTTTCTCTAAATACATAGTATAATTTACTCTTTAAAAAAATAAATTTGAATAGAGCGTTTTTTTTTTTTTTTTTTCTGTAAAGAAAGTATATTATCTATTTAGAGAAAATGTAGCGAAAACTTCCATTAGTTTCCCCAAAAAGGAAAATTACACTGCTAAGCAGTTTTTAATAACTATTTAAGAAAATGATATCACTTTTTGTTTATTCCATAAATAGTAATTTCTTTTTTACAAAATTAGCACATGTAGAGAAAATGTAGCGAAAACTTTCATTAGTTTCCAAAACCCACTCCACTGCCTTTTTATTATTCACACGCTCTTTCATTAGTTTGCACTACCTATTATATAAATTTAATGTTTTACTTTCTTAACTATGTATTTAGAGAAAAATACTGGAGGAATACTGTCAATTGCAAAAGATGGAGTATTTGGAGTTTGACGTTATCATCAGACTTTATCCTTTCTACAAAATCCACCTTATACTATTATCTGACGTATAACATTATAAGCATCAACCAGTATTAAAGTTAAGTATAATATGTATTTATTCTTTTAAAAAGTAGATATTATGGTAAAAGCGCCATATATACTGAATTGGCATTCCATTCCTTCTCACAACAATTAGTAAATCTACAGTGTTAATCTACATTATTGACTTCCCAAGTGTTTCAGATTGCCCAAGTACAGCACTCCACTAGAAAGAAAACAGGACTAAATAACACCAGTCTACCTAGATTCAGTGGCATGAGTTTCAGACCCTCTCAAGAACGATCGTCGCCACCATATCTGGAATGATTTGCTAAGGTTAGGGCATTCAGTACCATGCTTAGAGAAACACTTGAACCAATCCATAAACAGAATATATTGTTCCTTCAAAGGAAGAGTAAGGAGTGCTTGACCCATGGCTTCCTCCAATGCCTTCATGTCTAGGCCCTTTCTGCATCTCTGTAACCATCCGAAGTCCAAAAGCATCGGCCTAAACCATGTCTGAAGAAGCCCCGACCTTGCTTCAGAGCGACAATGCATTTTCCCTGTGCCCATTGCTATGAATAACATAGCTGTCACCCGGCTAAGCTCGTATCTGACCAATGGAGATGCACATTTATGCATTCCAAGCAACTTGCTTTGATTGGTCCATATCACCACCAAGTCCTCTGCCATCTGGTGATCAAGCAAAATTTCGAGCAGCCAAATGATGTTGTCAACCTGCTTCGATATGCGCTCAATCAAGGGTTTCTCCCCTTTCTTTGCAAATTTATTAGATGGACTGGTACTAGTGGCCTCCTCAAGCAAACAAACAAGTGAACTTATACAAGACTGGCAAATTGCAAATATATCCGCCTTGTTCAAATCAGGGCAGTCCTTTTTGTACACTGAGCTTTTGCACAGGAGACCCCTGACTAAGGATTTTAGCTCGTTTCTGGAATTGGCATCGACACAGGTAGTAACAGACCAAACAAGCTGCTTAGACAAAGTATGTTGGGAATCTGCCATATCTAGTGTGTAGAGTCTGGCCGAGATGTCTCTAGCAGTTTCATGATCAAACTTCATTTTATTAAACAAGCTCCTCAATTTCTCTTCTTCTTCCTCAGTCCAAGGAACAGCTTCAAGGTACTTCAAACACGATAAAACACCCCGGTTGAATTTGATTCCAGCTGATACCTAACATTAACAAGGGATAGCATTAAACAACAAAGACAAAGTTGAAAATAGGAGAGAGAGAAGCCTAGTACTAGCCAAACAACCAGGGGCGGGTTTTATTGTGTGAAAACTAATAGTGAGAGTTAGCTAGACAATGAATACTTTTCCTTTTTTGAAGATGTAAGGTCGAATTTCTCTATTCAGTAAAAGAGGAGCTTTAATATATGTTCGACAATGCTATACCTCTTAAAAGATGATGAAGGAAAAACGCACAAAAAGCTTAATCTGGCTACCCAATCGCCATGTAAACAAATGGTGGAACAAGGGGCACGGAGACCTAAAACTCCATATAGAGAAAGAACAAATTACAAAACAAAGACACCCAATAGAAGAGGTCCCTCTTTCACGGAGACCTACTGCAGAAGTAGCACTCTGCAGTAGTTTTTAATACTTAAGTCATTCAGCATAGAAATTAGCAGAATGCAAAACATGACGAGAGGACTGATTTGATAGGCATTTAGAAGACTAAAGAAACAAAGGATTCAAATGCATTCTGGGAAGACATACCAACCAAAAGTGTTTATAGGTTTTACTGCCACAAGGCAAAGCTAAATGGCATTACTTTGCAGATATACATTATAACTATTCTTAGAAATTAGAGAAAATTCTTACAAGATTTTTCTCCACATTAAAGAAAAGTTGTATAAGCCTTTGCTTCCACATTTGGAAAAACAAAGATCCATCCACTTCCAATCCTTTTCTTAATTTTTCAATCCTATACGAACAACATTACCAAATTATGCATAGCTAAACAGAGAATAAAATTTTTTTAGAAAATTAACAGAAAATAAAGCTATCTTAGCTTCTATTCCATATCTGTTAATCTTTTTTGAATATCTTACTTTATTCGTACTTTTTAGAAAAGTAACCTTCCTTTGTTTCCTCTTGGGGGGGGGGGGGGGGGTGAGGTGTTTACCCTTTGACCTTTGGGTTATCCATTTAGTATACTCCTTTTCTTGGTAAATGTTTGTCGAATGAACAGTACACAAACACAAATGAGGCTGCAGTTAACACGACATAAATCAATGATTTTTTAAGATAAATAAGAAGAATTCTTCAGCGAGCAATTATGCAAGAAAACCAACAGTTGTAAATGACAAGCAAGAAGGCGACAATTATGGACAACAGACTTGCTCCACTATTTTGTAAAGCTCTGGCCATTTCAGGCACCTTATTCTGCACATCCTGAAAGCTATGGAACTAAAGATCTTTGTGAGATTTTGAATGGTATGGAAATATCAGGTCGAGTTTGACCGAATGGAGCAAAGAATGCAGCAAAGCAGACATGTTAGGCAGCACTCAGCAGGATCAGATTACATCGTGCAACTGAGGTTGCACCACGTTAAGAGCTTATGTAACTTTTCGTTGGTTAATTAATTATTTTTTCAAGAATAAAGAAGAGATTTACAATAGGATATTACCTATAAGAGAATGCTCACAGGCATACACTTGAATTAAGGAAATAGTCAAACTTCCATTAAGAACACTGAATTAACCTAGTACCAAAACATTAGGATTAGTTTCCGCTAGATCTAGGATTCGGAATGTGGTAGCTCTCTAGTTTCCTTTCGACTGCATTGTTATCGCACATATATTCAATGTTCTAGCTAGCCATTGGAATGTGGAAAACACTGAAGTTTCTTTGCCATATGTAATATACCACGCACACAGGAAAGAAGTTTCAGAAGAACCAGCAGTGCAAGAACTAACCTCTGTAAACTGAACCAACCATGCAATTTCTAATTAGTCGATATGGTTGCTCCAATCTTAGCAGCTAACCTAATTAGTCTTCAAGCATGAAATATAAGATGTCAACTCCACTGCATGTTTTCTTCTCTATTTTAAAAAGCATACGTGATCTTCCATACTCTTAGAATCACCAACGCGATTCTTAATTAGTCTACTGAGTGTGCCTAGTTAGTCTTCAAACAAGAAATGTATGATACCAACTTCTTTCACTTTATCAAAAAGATGCCAACTTCATCACAATTTCTCTACATACTCTTCCCATCGTTCAAAATCATCGGAGAAGTTCAATATTCTCTGAGGAACAAGTAATTCATTCAGGAATCACTATCATTACACCCCTCTCTCTCCCGAAATTAACTACTCTATGTTCACCTGCTAAGTTTGACCACCAAATTATTCATAATCTATTTCCCATTTTGGCAAACAAAACTCAATAAGCCTGATAGCATTTTTATCCTAGTCTAATAATCACGTATTAATGCTTTTCAAAAAAAAAAACATAAGTTAGGGAACTTAAAAATCCTGGATCTTGAGAAGATTACCTCAAGCACATCAATGGCGCGATAAGCACCAATCCTGATAAGTTTCCGGGGAATATCATCCTCAAACATTAGCTCAATCGTCTCGCGAAACACCCCCAAATTCTCCACCTCAGGCACCTCTATCCTACACAACCCCCTCGAGTTTTTCGCAATCAAGTCAGCAAAAACACAACTATTAGTACTAAGAACCTCAGAATTAAGCTCCAATACTAATCCACTCCCATTCTTTCCTTTTAAATTCAACCTCACATCAAAGATCCCCAAATTACAATCATCCCTAACCCCGGGCCCACCACCACTAACTTGCTGCTCGCAATCAACCGGAGTCGGGGATTTAGGAATTTCAGGGAAATTAACCGGGTTAATCGGGTTTAGGGTTTCGTCAATGGAATCAATTGGAGATACCCGACCCGGTGAGAGGATCCGACGCGGGTCGATTCGGGTCACGATGCCGGGTCTGGAGGTGTTTTGAGGTGAATTAGCGAAAGAAGATAAGGTGGAATTGGATGAAGATTTTGTGGCTATTTCTGGTTTTAGTAAAGATTGGTTCTTTTTGGGCAAACCGGCCGGAGTTGGAGTTTGAATTGGGTTTTCCGGGCTGTGTGGTGGAATAGTGAAGGAGCAACACCAAGCACGGCGATGATGATGCGACGGCGGCGGTTCACGGCGGCGATTGTGGGGTTGAGATTTAAGGCGCGTGGAGTCGTGCATTTCGAGAGCAAAAGCTTAAAGACACAGAAAAACAGTATGTGTCTTACAGTGTGTGTGTGTGAGAGAGAGAGAGAGAGAGAGATTGTTAGAGATCAGAGTATGATCCCATATGTACAAATGTGAAAACTTTTACATTTATTGGGAAATGGGAATTGGCAATGTTCTTTCTTAGGGCGAAGAATATTAGGAGGTGGTCAGTGGGTGGTAGGGTGGTGGAGAGGAGATTCTTGAGCTGACGGCAAAAGCAAACAGTATAGATACTGGCAAAGTGAGCTGTGATTGTGAATATTGGGATTTCCTTTTTTACTTTTGTTTCTGTTTTTTAAAATTTTAAAAGAAAGCAAACATTTGGATATTTATTTTGAAAAAAGAAATTTACAGATCCGCTTGATGCCTTTTTGATTTTATTGTGGCCTTGTGGGGAGAAGGTGTATGTAGGGCTGCTTATCGGGCGGATTGAGCGGTTATTTACTTTTAACGGTTTGGCTTATCGGTTATCGGCTTTTAAATGTATTAATCCGCTAGCCATTCGATAAGATATCGGGCGGATTGGTATCGGTTTAGCTCTTATCGGGCAGTTTATCGGATTGTTTGCTGACCGCTGTGACTCAAAATAAAATTCTTATGCTCAGCAGACTACATTCCAGTCTATAGAATATGGCACCTAAGAAGAGAGCTAAATAGAAGAAAT